CTACTCCTATAGTGGAAAAGTTCTCAAAAAAAAAGAAGAAGAAAAATTCAATACGTGTTTTTTCAAGAATATTCTAAAATTAGATATTTCTATTCATTAAAATCAGGGTGTTTTTTTGTTAATTACACATTTCCCTTTAATACAATTTTAGTTAAATAATTTCACTGGAAATTTTTAATTTGTTAAAATTCAAGTTTAACTAATTTAATTTCAATTCAATAGGAAGCAAATAGTTTTATCAAAAATTAAATTTAACTAATGATTATAGCAATTAACTACTATTTGATCAGTAAAAATACTACTATGTGAATCGCATCAAACTTTTTCTAACGATATCAAATTAAGACAAAAACGTATCATAAGCTTTTGTCTCAATTTGATATCTTTAGAAAAACTGCGATTTAATAATTTTATTATCAAATCAATTATTTTCAACTAATTAAAATTTACAGACTTATTTAAAAATTTCTTATTTTAAGACTATTATATATTCGAACTTTAAAAGTAAACTGAACGTAACTTTATTATGTAATAGAAACCAAGAAATATTAAATTTAGAATAATTTTTATTTCATTAAAGACTAATGAATTACTAATAATCAATATTAATTTTATCTTATATGAGATTTTACTTTTCACTCTCTTCGTAATTTCTCCAATTGTTTACTCTCTAAATTTAAATTAGTAGAAATTAAAAATTAAATTAAAAAAAAATTTAATTAATTAATTAATTTAATTAAAATTAAATTTACAGAAATGACAAAAAATCGTCCACCAAATAGTTTAGTAACAGTTTTAATATCAATTAGTAACATTTTACTAGTCAACCAAATTTTATTCTCAAACGCAAAATTTTTTAAACTGAACCAAATGTTTATTTAAATATCAAATAAATTTTTATGCATATTGAACAAACTTTACTTAATGATAAATCGTCCAAGCGCCCATCCTGCCGGAAGGACGTTCCGAAAAAAAGGCTTTTAAAAAAAGGGAATTCAACTTTTCTTTTCTGGCACTCTTTGGGATTAAAGTAGACGAAAAGACGAAAAAATCCATATTTTTGACTTTTTAAAATAATAATTTAAACTATTTTTCAAAGCCTTCAAACTTGCTATGTTTTTAAACAGTGAAAAAAACATTTTTTCGTAAATTTAATGTAAAATCCCCAAAAATCAATATTTTTTGACCGGACAAGTCTCTTTCTCTTCAGAAACGTTCAAAGAATGAAACCTAATTTTTTAATTAAAAAAAAATTCATTTTTAATATTTTTCAGTATATCTGAGTATAGACTCAGGCGCGAGTCCCTTCGAAATTGCTCTATAAAATTAATATGGAAGCAGATAAATATAAAACTAAATATATCGTTGGAAAGGTAATGAAACAAGCTTTCAAATGATGTAAATATCGAGTTTTTAAATTTATAAACCTGGGCTAGGCAGTCTCTTAAATAAAGCGAAAAGCGTCCTGCCGGCAGGACCGGGCTTCGTCATTCTGTGACTAAAAATTATGTGAATTTTTGGAAAATCTAACTTCTTCAAACTACCCAGCCCTTAGTTTTGAACTTACAAGCTCGATATTTATATGCGCTGAAAGCTTGTTTCGTTACCTTTCCAATGATATATTTCGTTTTTTATTTATCTGAATCCATGTTAGTTTTCTTTAGTGATTTCGGTGGGACTCACCTGAGTCTTTTTCGTCCTGCCGGAAGGACGTTGGACGATCTATCATTAAAATAACCAAAAAACAATATTTTCTCAACAAAATACTCTTTAAATTTAAATTAGTAACAATGTTTACTAAGTTAAATTTGTACCTGATTGTTTGCTTTTAAATTAGTAAATTTTACTAATAAGTAGTAATTTCTACTAATTTATTTACTAATATATTTATTTCTACTAATTTATTAATTAAATAAATAATTAAATAGTAATTTCAACTAATTTATTAGTAAAGTTTACTAATTCAAAAGCAAAAAGTCAGTCACTATAATTCAAATTAGTAAACATTTTTACTAAATCAAATTTAGAGAGCTTTCAAAGAATGTTATTATTTATGTGAAAATAATTAAACGTTTGCGTAGAATTTTATTAAAATTTTCGAAAATAACTGAATTGTGGAGAACAATTTAATTATTTATAAAGATAATTGAAATTTTGAGGAGAATTGAAAAAATTTTTTAACATAATTGAATTTCTGCGAAGAATTTTATGAAAATTAATGAAAATAATTGAATTCTTGTGAAGAATTTTTTTTAAAAATAATATTTAAAAGAATTTAGTAAATCCGAAGAATTTTGCTATTTATGGAAATAATTGAATTCTTGCGAAGAATTTTTTTACAGTTTCTAGAAATAATTGAATTTTTTCGACGAATTTTAATAAAATTTTTAAGAATAATTACATTTTTTGAAGAATTCGATAAAAATTGTATTAAAAATAATTGAAATTCTGCAATGAGTTTTACTATTTATGAAAAAAATTTAAGCAAAGAAATGTTTAAAAAATAAAATTATAATTACAGTGACTAGTTTCACTTGATTATTTGCAAAAAATTTAAATAAAATTCTTTAAAAGAATTTAATTATTTTTAATAGAATGTAAAGAAATTTCAAAATTTTCAATTATTTGTCTATAAAAATTCAAATATCTTGAAACAATAGAATAGAAATATTTCAAAAATCTTATTTTTCAGAATTTTCAAAAAAACTTTGCGAAAATTCAATTTTATTAAAAAAATTTTCAGTATCTTTTTTTAAAATAACTAATAAAAATTTTGATTAATTATCTTCGCACTAAGAAACATGAATACATTAGAATGTGACTCTTTATAAAATTCAATTATTTATCAATTATTAAAATAAAATACTTTAAAAATTCAATTTGTTAAAAAGTTTTTAATGAAATTCTTTAACAAATTTAATTATTTTCAGTTGAATTTCACAAAATTTCTATTAAATCGATAATTTTTTATTTACAATTTACATACTATATTTAAACAGTGACTGATATTTTACTATCAAATTAATTATTTTTAACTAATTGAAATTCAGAGAACAGTATAAATATCTATAAAAATTGAAATAAAAAGCGATTTTTTAAAAACAAATTAAAATAATAAAATTTTTTTTTAATTTGGTGGAAAAATTCTCGGTTTGGCATAAAATTCCTAGCTTATTCCTAGATTTCCCGGTTCTACTAATTTATTAATAATTTAATAATAAATAGTAATTGCAACTAATTAATTAGGAAAATTTACTAATTCAAAAGCAAAAAGTCAGTCACTAATGAAAATAGTAATTTCTACTAATTTATTAGTAAAATTTACTAATTCAAAAGCAAAAAGTCAGACACTAATTCAAATAGTAATTTCCACTAATTTATTAATAAAATTTACTAATTCGAAAGCATTAAGTCAGTGACTAATTCAAACATAAATTTCTACTTATTTATTTAATAATAAATATAGTAATTTTTACTAATTTATTACTGAAATTTACTAACTCAAAAGCAGAAAGTCAGTCACTAATTTAACTTTGTAAACATTTTTACTGATTCAAATTTAGAGAGTATAGAATATTTGATTTAAACACAATTTTTTGTCAGAGTGAAAACATTAAGGGAAAAAGTCGTCCAAGAAAATTACTAACAAATAGTGAAATTTGCCAATATTTATTAGTAGAATTTTACTAATTAAAATTCAGAGATTAATATTCAAATTTCTTAATATTTTAAACCATCAAATGAATTTACTATAAAAAATCTACCACAATAACAAAAGTCATTTTATCAACAGGATTTTCATAAAAAAAAATTTTTCGGATTCTAGACAAGATGTATAAAAAATAAAAACACAGTCTTATGACAGTTTATTAAGATTTCAAACTCGAAACGACTTTTGGATTACTCTATATATAATTATATACATATACAAAAGCAGAAGGGTTAAAATACAAGACCCAGGCTATTATTTTACACCTACGGTTAAAGGGATATATAAAAGGGGTGACTGCTCGTGACAAATATATAAAGAAGATCGTGAAATAATGTGGGGAATGAGAATAGCATTTAAGGGGTAAAGTAAACCGGGAACGTCAAGATGAGCATAGAAATTGGTAGAGGGAGGATATGTTCACGATATGTTGATATGTTATATGATGATATGTTCACGACGAGCACTAAACCCAAGTGATGAAAAAAATCGGCATGCTATATTATGTTGTTAACTAGATCCGTAGATGAGTCGTCTAACCTGTTCTTGAGGCGAATTACGAAAGCGACTAGAGAATAAATTAAGGCGGAAGGTCTTCAAACTACGTCGTTACCCAAAAAAAAAAATAACCAACCTGTTTTTTTAAGAGACTTTAAAAAGAGTAGAATTTGAGAAATTAATGCGTAATTACGCAGTAATTTAACATTTTGGAAATTATTCTATTGTAAACAACAATTCCATTATTTTATGCGTAATTACGCTTGAAAAGAGCAAAATAAATGGTGGCTTTACTACACGTTTTCAATTCTTTCATTTTAACAGGAATCATGTGTATATTGTGGTTTATTTACAAGTATATAAAACTTATAAAAAAAACAAGAACGCAATGAGTTTAAGAATAATATTGTTTATAAACAAACAACAATACCAAATGATGATATTTCCAAAGAAATTAAAAAATCTCCGGATAATGAAAAAAACCGCATTTATAATGAAGGTATTAAAAATGAAGATGTGGAATTTAAAGAACAATATCATCAGCTCCTAAAATTGAAAACATTGTAAAGACGAATAATAATGCAGATATTATTCAAACTATACGTACCGATGACGAAATTATAGTTTTCAATGAAACTGAAAATAATATTATTGAGGAGAAGATAATCACAAGACCATCAAATTTCATAAAAAAAACGTTTCAAAATATATTTAAATGAGAATGAATGGCACAAAAAAAACCAAGAGAGACCAAAAAGAGAGAAAGGGCCATAAAAAAAAAGTAGAACCGGTATTCGTGAGAAGAGATATTTTCAACCTGTAGAAAGGCAAAACTCCATTCACCAGTCTACATTCAAACTTGAGACGTTCACAATAGAATCACGGTGTTTTTGTAATTTTTGTCAACATATAAGCATTCAGAAGACTCGCAACAAAATAAGGTTTTTATATTTTTTATGTTAAAAATATGCGATTTTTACTAAATCTGTTTCGCAAAAAAAAAATAATACGAATTACATTGAATTTTTATTATAGAATTAATATGGATTTGTCATCGTCACATTCATCGTCTTCCTCTTCTTCAAACAACAAGTCTAAAAATGACAATTCCTCCAAATGCAATCATATGACAAATGCTTATGGAGTTTCAAAATGGAAAGGAGAAACTTCACTGCATTGGTCGACTTTTGACGAGGGACAAATGAAACAAGAAAATATTCGCTTCAATGACAACAAAGTGGTGTATCATAATTTAAATGACAATTCCATTAAAGTTTATAATTTAGAGAAGAATATAAAGTATACTGAAATTAAAAATACTAAAAAATAAGAATATTAATAAAAATTGTATAATGTCTTATAACAATCTATTAAACAGAATATTTAACTCTAAAACTATTGACAATGTTCTACTTCAAATTTATAATGAAAATAAAAACGCTAATGAAAATAAACAATACTAATAATTATTTCGAATCTTTATTAGATCCATTAGATATTTTATCCAACATAAAAACTTTTAATAAAAACTATTACTTTAAATATAACAATATTAATACAATCAATAAAGAAAAAATTAAAAAGACGGAGAAAATTCTTGACGCTAAATCCGTTATTTTTCAACAATTAAATGACAGTTTGATAAATGTAAAGAAAAAACAAGATTCACTTCAATTATTAGAAAATGATGTAATTATAAAAAAAACACAAAAGGGGCCATTCAAGTATTACGTAAGCATACTTTTCAGGTTTTTAGACCCCCCCCCCCACCCCATGTAAGATTTTTTATATGCATTAGCGCCATTTTTTCTAATGGAAATAAGCAATAGCTAGACCCCCCCTCCCCCTTAAATGCTTACGTAATACTTGAATGGTCCCAAATGCCAATAGAGAGGTTTTTAAAATATTTGAATATTTAAAATTAATAAAAAATAAGACATCTCAAAAAAGTACAATAGATTTTTTTACAAATGTTTTGCCTCAACTTTATAATAAAGATAATTTAGATTTTACAAATGATGTAAAAAATGTATTTTTCATGATAAACACATGGAAAAGAAAAAGAAAGAAAGAAAGAAAGAAAGAAAGAGCTTTTTCCGGGTGGTGGTAGTGAAAATTCGGCAATGTTCGTCGTACATTTTCCCCTTTGAAATGTTGACGTCATTCTAGTATAAGGGGCGAGGCACACAATATTGATTCCATCCCCTCTATTCCCAGAAAGCTTCGTTTCATTCACAAATACGTTTCGTCGTCGCTACACCCCCTTCTCTTTTTACACTTTTCTAGACCTGCGAACTATCTTTCCCACCCCTTCTTTCTTTTTTCCCTTTCTTTTTTCTCTCTTTTTTCTCCCTCTATTTTTCTCTCTCTTTTTTCTCTCTCTCTCTCTCTTTCTCTTACCCTTTCCCTCTCTCTTTTCTCTCTATTTGTACAAATATACATTTCTATATAATACACACTTTTTTTTTTATTCCTTTTTCTTCATTTTCTATTGTTATGTGCAAGAAAAGCATATCGAGTCTTTATCGTTTGTCAACAGTCGACACCCGGAAAGAAAAGAGGAGAGAAATATGTTTCTGTTGTTGTTGTTGTTGTTGACGTTTTTCTAAATCATTTTCGTTTCTCCCAATAAACGTGTGTGTAATATTATACTCTTGATTCGCATCTCGATTTGCAAGCGAAAAAAAAAAGAATGGAATTTTTCTCACGTTAATTTTATAGAACATTAATCATTCATGACGTTTTAAGCTTTTTCAAGTGCCCTCAAGCAAATAGCTGCGATTATTTATATTCGACGTTTTACAAATCTTTGATGACTGATACCTTTCACGACAAAATTATGTTATAAAAATTATAAAAGAAAAAAATAAACGCCTTAAAAATGTAATTACGAAATTTAATTTTAAAAAAACATTTTTTTAATTATTTTTTTTAATACTTTGAGTTAATAAAAAAAATAACTAATTATTAGTAAATAAATAACTACAAAAATACTCAAAACTAATTGAATTAGTTATTTTTAAATTAGTAAAAATTTAGGAACCGAATTTTTGCTTTTGAATATGTAAATTTTACTAAACAATAGTAATTTCTACGAATTTATTAGTCTTATTTACTAATTCAAAAGCAAAAAAGTAAGTCACTAATTCAAATTAGTAAACATTTTTAGTAATTCAAATTTGGAGACTTCATCGGACACGCAAACAAATTTTCACTTGGAGCAGCGAAAGTATTAAATAAAACAACTAAAAATTTTGTTAATATAGTGAAATATTAATAAAATATATTATTATATATTTAATAATTTTCTGTATAAACTTTTAAGATAATAATTTTTAAAAATACTATTTAAATTCCTATTTAACAAACTAGAGTTAAAAAACTATATAAATAATATAATAAAAAATAAAATAATATAAAAAAATTAAATAATATAAAAAAATATAATAAATATTAAAATATTATATAAAAAATTGTAATAAATAATAAAATAAAATTGCACTACACCAAAAGAAGATAATAAAAAATTTAAAAAATAAATTGGAAAAATATTACTACTTCACAAAAACTATAAAATTTATCAAGTCACATTAAAAATGGAAAACTTCCAATTTCAAATGGTACTTAAAATAAATCTCGAATTTCCAACTTTTCCAATTTATATTTCTTTAAAGTTTACTTTAAAATTTAGTGTACACTTGGAATTGCTTTATATGACAATTACATATATATATATATTTATATTTATATATATTAAAGTTCATTTTCTTATTCTATTTTTATATTAGAATTTATTAGCGACCAATAAACGAAATATAATTTCAAAAAGTCCTTCAAATATTCAAAGGAGATTTTTTATATTTTGTATAAAACACTATAGTAGTTAAAAATTATTTTTTTTAAGTCATTTCAAATTAAGTGATTTTTAAATTAAAAGCCTTTCGTTGTAAATTTTGAAAAATTATTTCCAATTTTTTTTTTATATTCTTTAGAAATAACTGAAATTAAATATTCAATTTTTTAGGTCAAATTTTTTGCGATATAAAAATCGAGTAAAATTTTAAAAATTCACTTTTTAAAAGGTAATTTTTTACAAAATGCATTATTTACAGAAAAGCGAGGGGATCTATAAAATAAATTGAAAAAAGGGAGACGAATTTGTGAAAATTTTCCAACTGCGGTAAAAATTATTACTTAAAAAGTAAAAGTTAAATATTGTTTACTTCAAATAATTATAAATTATATAATATACAGTTTATAATTATTTGAATTATAATATATTATAGTTTATATATAAAAAAATGTATTATGTAATTATGAATTATAAAGTTTATAAAAAAAATAATTAAGGATCGTTCACAAACTACGTCGCAACTTCTAGGATAGAAAAGAGGAGGGGGGTCATGCTACGAGCGACGAAATGTGAAAAAAATTTTATTTTTTATGTAAAAAATATGACGAAGGGGAGGAAGGGGTTGAAAATTAGTCTAAAATTACAACGTAATGTAGTTTGTGAACAACGCCTTATATAACAATTATTTATAAAAGATTAAATATAATTACATAATTAATTAATTAATTACTCGCCACAATGGCATTTTCAGCAACAAATTATTATAATTGAATAAAAAAGTACAAAAGAATATAAAATTCCTCCACAAAAATATAAAATACAATTCAGAAAATATATAAATCATCATAAAAAAATTGAAACAACATAGTGACAAATATAAAAAAAAAAATTCAAGAAAAATATAATTTCACTGGTACTCTTTGTGCCGGTGACAGTACCAGACATACCACTGGTACCTATATAGTGGCTGGGGCGCTCATCACACAAAAAAAAATTCCGATTTCCCTACCTACCGCAAAAAATAAATCGAAAATAATTCTCCTTCACACAAAAAAGCTATTCCTACCTACCCCGTGTCTATATATATTTTAAACCTAATTTTTAATTTCAGAAACACTCCACGGTTCTCTCACATTCCGCCCAGATGCAAATTGACCTACACTAGGGATAAAGGGGCACGTTAGGCTCACCCATACGTCCCGGGACGCATCCGTCACCTGAGCTCAAAATCATACAATTTGTATGATGACTTAAAATTAACAATATAGACATAACCCAACACCACAAAACAATGAAACATGAATACAAAATAAAAAATAAAATAAACAACAAAATAATAAAAAAGAAATTTTTTATTTTGAAATCCTAATTTCATGAACTACTGTATTAGCTTGTATTAATTTGTGTATTAACTTTTAACCATAAAGAAGAAAATTTTAAAAGACAAATATAAAAATTCTTAATAACAAAAGCTTTCAAATTATGAGTTTAAAATTTAATCAAATCACAGTTATTTTCTAAGAATATCAAATTGAGACAAAAAACTACTTTTAATTACTATCTTCAAACAGAAATTAAATATAATATTAAGAATTCATCACTCGGTGGTGTTAATTAAATTATTTAATAAACTTTTAATTACTATTTTTTTCAAATAAATGAATTTATAATAAGTATTAAAAATTTATCACTCGGTGGTGTTAATTAAATTAAGAAACGAATTTACTTTGATGAATAAAAAAGTAATAAAACAAAAAATTTGCCACAAATTAAATGCTGAACAAAGTATGCAAAATGAATGAGGTGAACATACGTATATTGTGACACGCTTTGAAGAAAGGGTCGTTAAAAACAAAAAGTGTTTATAATAACATAAAAGTTATGTTTATAATTTTTTGATTAAAAATAGTAGCAAACAATTAATTAATAGCAGCAAACTATTAATATAATAGTAGCAAACTATTAATTAATAGTAGCAACTATTAATTAGCAACCATTTTTTCAGAGCGAGTCACAACATAAAAACAATAAAAACATTGTCAAATATATTATTTTACGTTAGTAAAAATAAATACCAGGCGCATAATAATGTATTTGGCAATGGTGTCACTATGTTGTTATGATTCCTTCCCTGTTTTTAAAAATATTTTAAATTAATAATTTAAAATCAATTATAATTCATAATTTAAAATTAATAAACATTGCAAAGTTAAAAATTAGAATCTTTAAAATTATCTCTCAAATTTTCCAAATTAATATGATTCAAATATGATTCAAATATGATTCAAATAAACTCAAAAATTGTATCCAACAGGGAAGGATAAAAATAGTAAAATTCAAAAAAATGACTCATGTTTCGTTGTGATCAGTTTGATCAGTTCCTACGTTGTGGCAATGACATCCTTCCGTATCAGTTTCTTCTTTCTTCTCCACATCCGTCCTGCATCTTCAGATTGGCACTAGTCACTACACTGAAAAATAAAAAATAAAATACAATTAATTATTTTCTACACTGAAAAAAAATTTATTTCATTCAAATGACCGATTAGTTGACTATTTTCAATTAAATATTTTCTCGAATCAAATAATATTTATTAGAATCAATTAAATGGTA